TTTGATGGCGCAGCGGGAAAACTGCTCGTCCATGAAGCTGACATCGCGGGTTCGACTTCCAACTGGCCTGCTTAGCCGGGATGCCTGAAAGCCTCCCTTTTAAGTTATCAATATGATTGTTAGGTGATGAAAACTCTAAGCTGGAACTCGCGACGCTAGCCCGTACGATTATGCATTTTTGTACTGCGCTTGAAGCAGTCAGGTTGCTAGCAAATGTTTATTTCATGGGTACGGTAAATAAAGTAAAAATATCCTCGTAAAATCGGAAGTACAAATTTTCTTGAGAAGCCTACTAGTCCTCAATCTCCAGTCAGCATTTTCCCACCATTTGCGAAATCGTAGCTTTGACGAACTCGTGCGCAATACGTGCGTGTGCATTCGAGCTAGATGTAAAAATTTCTAATTTCAGCCATTTAGCTTCATAGGTTCCTGAATTGAAAGTGGGTGATGAAAATGCGAACACACACACGTACACATACACCCGCCCGCAGGCTACTTCTCGTCAATATGCTTTTTGCATTAGCATAAATGTGCAAAAAAGCTTGAAAATATGAAAATTGTTGAATTGTCACATAAAAAGATTAACCAGGTCTGCTCGCACAGTCAGTATACGTATCTTATGTTAGCGATTTTATTGAAATAGTTCGGACGTAGACATATCAGGCTAGAGAGGATTAAATAAATGCATAAAAGTTGATAAGGGAACCTAAATAGGGAAAGAGATAGCTCAATATTGACAAAGTGTATAAAAAATGATAAACAGCTGATATGAACATATAAAAAAGGCAACAGCGTTAACATAAAGGGCGGTAATGTATATGGGATGCTTCAAGCATGCCACAAAACTTCAAACGTTTTATTTCCCATTATCTGTGCCAGTGTGTTGCAAATACAAATAATCATCTGATGAGCGGTTTTAGGGTTTTTGTGCTTTCGCGTTTATATTCATTTTTCTCTCTTTTCTTTTTTTGCTTGAAAGGGCTTCAATTTTCATAATGAAAAGTCAGGATTTTAGGAAAGTAATAAAAATTATGATTTCAGCATGCGTTTTGAGTGAATTACGTTTTCAGGAAAGCGGTTCAGTGGAAGCGATGTTGGAACCGGCCCCATACAGTGATGATCCGGAAGTAATTGCAGCACGTGAAAGCATTGATTATTCGAAGAAAATTACCACTGAAATAGCGAAAAATGGCCAAGGTCCTGATTTCTCAAAATGTCACATTGCAGTTAATTGCTTTTTCTTAACATTTTACAAACCAAACATTTCACAGCGATTTATTACCTTTTTTACGCATTTTTTGCATCTATGCAGTGCAGACTTAGTCGAAAGCGCACCGGCTGCCTGTACGAGGATGCGTTTTTTGCACAGTTCCCCCGTAGGTTTTTTTTCGCCGGTGGCACGTTCTTCCCGGCAGATACTTCTAGCTAAATGAATTGGAATTGGCCACCACGATTGTTAGAAATTATTACAGTGACTCCAAATCCATGCCCTAAATATTCAACGATGCTCCGGTTGCGGTGTTACGCCAAATTTCACGTGTTCGTACGTGAGTGGCAACGTGAAAGCTTTCTTCGTCCGCAGTTGTTCAAACACAGTCCTGGATAGCGCTCAGAAAGTTTTAGCACTCCAGCTGCTCTGGTTGCAAACTCACGTCAAATTTCACGTTTATAAAGGTAAAGCGTACGTGGGACGTAAAAGTGATGTGTAAGTCGTTTTTGCGTGCATCTGGTCAATGGCCACCATCGGTTATGCTCAGAAAGTTCAGGGCCTCTGGTGGCTCACTTCTAAAGTTACAAAAGCATATGCGCGAAATTTCCACGTATTCCTACGTGAGATGCAGAGGAGCTGGTAAGTAATTTACTTTCGCGGACACAATAGTGGGCGAAGGGTAACGCTGCAGAATTGCTGCTTTCTACAGCTTATTGATCACCTTAAATCTGGACCTGGCATGATGCCAGCTTAAACTTTGGCTTGTGCGTACGTGAGACCTGGGGGTACGTGAAGGCCGAATTTAAAATCTTTGGATTAGACGCGGCCAAAGAACATCTCTGTAAAATATACTGTTCTTAATATAAAATTATATAATATTTTTTCTTTTCCCCTTTACCCTATGAATCATAATGTAATTTGCATTCTTTCGTGTTTACGGTTTTCTACATTTTCGTCCTTCCTCTTT